AACCCCTCTCTGTAGAAGTTGTAACTGGCTAGGCATATAGGCAGCTACTATGCCAGCAACTCCAAGTCACCCCCCAACTTCGGAAGAGAGATAAGACTGTAGAAGTGCATAAGATATAGGAAATCTTGGCAATTTGTGGTGTTTGTAGGGCTATTTGTCGCCGTCGGATTTATTGGCCGTGGTGCCCTGGCCGATGCGATCGAATATATCAACGAGGTTGAGCTGTCGAACGAAATTCTCGTGTTTCTGTCGAGATAGGACCTTTGTAAAGCCGTCTGCTATTATACGTTCGGATGCAATCCATTTAATTTGTACGTTGCCGGCTTATACTTCTTGGTGTAGCCAGTGGCTGTGTATATCAACGTGCTTAAGGCTAGTAGTAAGCTTGCTGCCGGCCGTTGTAAGTAGCCGGATGGTTTGCTAGTTATCGCACAGCACGGAAATAGCCTGGTTGCCCTCTAGGGCTAGATCTAGGTGTATAAATAGGCGTTGCCACCACATAAATTCCGATACAGCTGCCGATATAGCTGTAAGCTCTATATTAGTAGAGGACTTCATCACGTGCGTTTGTTTAGTGGCCTTCCAATCGACAGGGCCACTAAAAAGCTTTAGGATATATCCTTATAAGCTTCGGCGTGTAGCAATATTATTAGTAAAGCTGGCATCGCTAGCTTGTATAAGCATTTAATCGGTGTTAATTATAGAGGCAGAATACTGCAGTATATATCCCCTTATTTAATAGAGATAGGCAAGTGCTCGGTTAGCAGTATAGTAGTAAGCGGGCGACAGGTTCCTGGCAAATTTAGCCAGCTATAAGGTTGTACAGGCTATATCCGGCCGTGTATTAATAGCTGTATAGAGCAATAACCCTATTTTCTATTAATAGCTGTGGATAGAGAATGCACTAGCTGCTGCGGCTTTATAGGGAATAAGGCTATTTATAGCCATCGGCGTATGTATATAAAGGGCCTTCTTCTGCTAGAATTTACCTGTAATTTTATTAATATATAAATCCTGGCAAAGCTATAGTTAGCCGGCGGCTCGGTTATAAAGTATATAAATACTTAGGAACTAGAAGGCTTCCCCTAAATCTTTTATTTTATACTAAGCTATTAGAGTATATTTAAAATTAGCTAATTTATTACTATATTATAGTATACAGTATACTATAAAATTGTCTATATAGAAGAATATAATTAGGTGTTAATTAATAAACAGGTATAGTACGCCGGGCACTTTTTTAAGCCCTAATTCCCGCAGTATTTTTAATTAATTATTTAGCTATAGCAGGGGGGAATAGCAGAGGCCGTAGAGGCCTTTATTTATACGCAGTAGGTAGCTTTTACAGTAGAAGCCGTTAGGGTAGTAGATATATACTTCTTTATCTAGCTCTAGGTTTATAAAGGCCGATATAGCGTCGGCCTACTAGGTATTAAAATTAGCTGTATAGATAATAGCTATATAGGCCCGAAAGGTTTTTCCGGCTAATATAGCTATATAGGTGTCTAGCTCTATAGGCTATTAAAGGTTACCGCGTATATATAGGCGTGCTTTATAGCGTATAAAAAAGCTATTTTTATTAAATTTATATATAAATACCTAGGTAACCGGTATAGCTAGGGCTTTTATTTCTAGCGTTTTTTCTATAGCTATAAAGCTACTATATTCTACTAAGCTATTAAGTTCTTTAATAGCGGCTGCTATAAACCCCTAGCGCTTAAAGTACTATAGTAGCTGCTTTTAGTTTCTAAGTAGCTTTAGAAGGGATTTTTAATAGCTGCCTCCGGTAACACCTGCGGTAAAAGTAGTATATAGAGTAGGTAGGCGTTTATCTAAAGCTTTAGCTTATATAATTACTATATATAAGGCTGTATAGGGTTTAGCCGGCTTATAGTTATAGGTAGGCCTTAAAAAAGCTGCCGTAGTAGCTACTATAAAGGCTGTTAGTAAGGCCGTTAGTAAGGCTATAGGTAATACTATAGTAGAGGCTATAGGTAATACTATAGTAAAGGCTATAGGTAATACTATAGCAGAGGCTATAGGTAATACTATAGCAGAGGCCGTAGGCAATACTATAGTAGAGGCTATAGGCAATACTATAGCAAAGGTTATAGGCGATGCTATAGGAAGACGGCTAGGTAACAGCGTAGGATTTAGCGTAGGTAAGGCAGGCTCTAAACAGCTATTGCTAGAGCAGTTATTATTATTTAAGCTCGGCGAGCCGGGCGGCTGCTACTACTGTGCGGGCGGCTGCTGCTATTATATAGGCGGCTGCTACTATATAGGCGGCTGCTGCTATTACTTTATATAGGGTTATACTTTAATTTTATTAAATAGGGGGTTATTAGAATTATTATCCTTTATTACCTAGTAGGTTTATATAATAGGCGGCTTTAAAAGGCTTCCTATATTTAGAACGTGCTTTACCTATTAAATTAGTAGTTAAATAGCTAGATTTTCTAATAGGGGGTTATAAAATAGTGTTTTATTAAATATAATATTTTATACCCTAATAACTTTATCCTTACTTAGCACCTATATTCTATAGATATTAGCCGATTTATAGCTAATAAAATAGCTAATAATTACTTAGGGTGTTATTTTCGGCGTTTTTAGTAGCTTTTTTAATATCGGATATACTCTGTATTCGTACACGCGTAGATACTGCACGCTAGGGTTTATCGGCCTGCTAGTTATAGCCTGCAAGGCTGTAATTAGAGTTCTTTAACCTAGTATTTTAGTAGGCGTTCTATTAAGTAAATAGGCGGCTGTTTTATATACTTCCGGCTATAGATTTATAGGTAATTAGCTTTCCTTTTATATATAACGGGCTTTTTTAATAATAATTCCGCTAGAGCGCTCTACTCCACCGTTTTATATAGTATTATAAGCTGTAGATTAATTAAATTTAATGCCTTTACTATAGTGCTATACCCTAAATTTATTACTAAGCAATTGTTCTCTATCGGTTTATAGCGTATATATAGTAATATTCTATTGCTTTTTAATAAGAGCAACTTTATCTATAATAATTTAGGTTAAATTAGCTATACTACTAAATATTCGGTATATATATGCTTTTATATACGGGCAGAAAAAGTGGACAGCGTAGCTGTTATTATTATAGCTATATTCTTTATATATAATATTAAATTATATAAGTTTAAATAGCCTAGAGGGCTTTAAAACAGGTATATAAGAAATTTATTACTTAGCTTTACTTAGGGCGTATTTAGAGTATTTGGAAATAGTAGGGCTAATAAGTTCTACTCTGCTTTCTAGTATATTTTTAATAATAGTAGTAGTTAAATACTATAGAGCCTAGGGGCCGGTATAGCCTAGGTAGTAATACTATAGTAGGCCGAGAGCTATAATAAACTGCTAGAGCTTAATTAGATAAGCTAAGTATAGCCCGTATTATAGAGGTTATATAAAATAGCTCTAGTATATTAGGAATATAGTAAGGTTAATTTTTAGATAATTTACTATAATAGCGGCCGGTATAGGCTTTAATAGAGAATCCTTTTAGTAGGCAGCTATTAGCTGTTATATATTTAGAAAGTTTAAAAGCTGCACGGCCTGCTGTATAGCTAACTTCACGGCCTACTGCGTAGCTATCTGCGTGGCCGGCTATATAGCCTGCTGCACGGCCTGCTATATAGCCGGCTGTATAGCCGTATATATAGCCGTCTGCTTAGCCGGCTGCTTAGCCGGCTACTTAGCTGTATATATAGCCGTATATATAGCCGTCTACTTAGCCGGCTACTATAGTATTAAGTTTATTAGATTTAAATTAGCTTTATAAAATTCGATAAAATTCTATCTATTTTATTGCTTAATACGGGCCTAAACAACTTTTTATCTATATTATAAATTATATAAATAGTTTTTTTTATTATACTAAAACACCCCTTTTTTATTAAGCTTACTAAGGAAAACCACGCTGTAGTAGAATCCTAGAATATACGCGGCCCCTAATAGTAGGGTAAAATAACTACTATTAGGGCTTTATAGCGAAATCTTAGCTATTCTATAGCTAGTAATTAATACTATTAAGCTGCCGGCGTAGCAAGTATTATTTAATAGTATTAGATCGCTAATAAACCGGCTTTAGTAGTTAAAAATATATATAATTGCTATATAGTTAAAAAGCATACTATTGCGTAGGCTATAGGTAGATAAATAGAATACTCTGTGCGGAATAATAGCAATTATAAAGTAAGAAACTAATCTAGTATTAGGCCCTCCGGCCTTAGCTATTTCCTGCAGCTTTTAAACTATCGCCTGCTATTTTTCGGGTTAATTCTTAAGGTTTTCCTTAAGCTTAGCTACTATAGCTAGGTTGCTTTTCTATCCGTTTAGCCGTTTATTCTTATAAATATATAGGCAATTTTAGAAAAAGTAGTGTTTTTTACAGATATATTCTAGGAGCTTATTTTTAGCTTTAGAGGCTGTTATAGAGGCCGTTATAGCGGCTAGTATAAATGCTATTATAGCGGCCTGCGTGGCTGCCGGCGTGCTTAGTAGCTTTAATTCCACGCTATTAAGTATTATTGCAAATATAGAATAGCTAGTAATTTTGCCTGTAATAGCTAGAGCCTCCCGTTTTTAGTTACGGAATAAATCAACTAGTTCCTAAAGCAGTGGAGTATTCTTAGCCCTAGCTATACGGCGGTGTATTTTATTGCGCCAGTATATTAAAAATTCGGGATTTTTTAGCTAAATAGAGAGTAGGAAGTTAAGTTATAGATAATTATTAGCGGCTTTAGGTAGTTAATATTCTTTGCATTTTCTATAGAGAACTGTCTATTTCTATAGCTATTATTTAATATTTAAATCCTTTAGAAACTTTTGCTGCTGCTGCTATAGCGTGCGGAGTTTATAGCGGCGTAGCTAATTAGATGGAGCCACCTAATTCTTAAGGCTAATTAGTATTTTATGCACAGTTTTAGCCTTATTAATAAATAGTATATAGTGTAATGCGACCGTTTTAATAATATAGACTCGGAGTTTATTAATAGCATTGATTTTAGCGTTATAGCAATCTTCCTCCTTCTTAGCATCCTCTTGGGCTTATTTCTAATCTAATTTGGCCGCCGGGGTCCATATTTCCGCGCTGCTTGCTGCTGCCGGTAGTGCAGGCCGGCCAGGCTTATTCAGTTTTGTGGAATCATCAGAAAATAGCTTGTTGGGGTTGACATATTCCCATACATTGCCGGAGTAGGCCTTTGTTTCGACGGTGAAGAACCAGTGCTTCCAGTCGGCAGGGGAGGATAGAACAATCCTTTCAACAGAGGTGGAAGTAGATGGCATATTGGTGAGAGAACACGGGCTGTTGTGTAGTCGATTCGGCTGTGGCGTTTTTGTGGCGTTGTGACTGACTCAACACCAAAAAGGTTCAAAAAGCAATAACAACAACAACAGGGCAGGGAGGAAGGCAGATCCTGATAAGTATCCGGGCTCATAACACTCAGGTTGCAAATTGACGTGAACTCTGTCTTATTTCGGGGGCCCGAAGGCCAAACTATATACTACGTAGGAAGTGACTGTACGCGTAGGCAGAAGCACTAATTAGAGACAGCAGTAGGCACGGTAGGCACGGTAGGCCACCGTACCCCAACCCCTCTCTGTAGAAGTTGTAACTGGCTAGGCATGTAGGCAGCTACTATGCCAGCAACTCCAAGTGGCTGCTATTGCACACAAATTCATGCAAAGTCGACAAGTCGATCGGTACCTCTAACTGAAGCGATCACCAATAGCGGTTAGTGCCAGACATTATCGTACGTCCGAAATAATCATTCCGGTATAAATTACTTATGGTAATCAGGTAAGCCCAGCCCGTGACCATCAGGCCTGTGGCTGCGCGGATGAATCTGTCGCCGAACAGTCCATCGCCGACCGATGGCCCTCATCTTCCTGCCGCGAAGCGCCTACGGTCGACCGAGCGTAAAAATGCTTCTGGCGCGCAGTCCCAGACTCGAACCCGATCTACACCGAGGGCTGCACAACTCCAGCACAGCGGCGCAACCGGCCGCCTCTTGTCTCGCGGCATTTGGAAAGGGACTGCGAAAGAGACGAGATCTTGTCTTCGTTGCTATATGGCCGGCGAGATAGTTACTTAAAGACAAGCAGTTGATTGGCGAATATATTAAGTGGAAACTGTCGGGCGGTTACAGGCATTGCACTCAATCTAGCTTGCAGTAACAGGCTTCCGATGTGATGTGTTGTTGCTCCAGAAAATTTCTGTCGATATGAATTCTGTTCGCAATAGAATATTGACAAATACTCGCCCCACTTCGCATAGCCTGATCTCCAGCATACAAGTGCGACCCGTTGCACCACCTCCTCCCCATCTCACTGTCTCTACGTTTGACTTTCAACCCGTTTCTTATACGTACTACTTTGTGGAGGGATTTGGTGAAACGTTGTCTGGAAACTTGCGGAAGATATCGGCAATGTGATCGATAGGAGCACTCAAAAGGCCCATAGCGGTCTCGAAGGGCGGATGTTCGCCGGCGCTTGGATGGCTGCGGGACGGGACAAATGCTTTGGTTCGACCAAAGCTTTTCGCAAGTGACTCGGAAACTCCGGCGTCCGTTTGAGACAAGGCTTTTTCGAGTGCGGGAAGGTCGTCCTTCTCCTCTTCTTTGATGTGCTGTGATAGATCCGTCATAAGTTCTTTCAGTTTTGGAACGTAATTCGCGTCCTTAGAACTCATGTTTTGGAAGTCCTTGAGCATCAATTTCACCTGGTCCAATTACCAAGGAGGGTCTGGGGCAGTTTGAATGGGCGGTTACCTCATGGTGTTCCTTGCGATCTTTCTCGGCCATTGCCTTGCCCTCTGAACCTATATATTTCTCGAACGCTGGATAGACAATGAGTTCCTCGGCGACGGAATGACGGGCAAGCTCCCAGGTGAACTGATTGCCATAACGTTGTTGATGGTCAGGGTCCGAAGAGTTAACCACTTCGTTGTAGTATTGTTCAAGCTCCCTGTGATCCTTTGTGATGGCATCGGTGATAGTAGACATTGCTGCAACGCTTGTGCGGAAGTAAGCTAATCTGTGGCTAGGTGGAAAACGCAAATGTAGAGTTTGGCGCACGACTGGGAGCATGGGTGATGTTAGGGTACGGGAGCGGAACATGATGGAAAGGAGAGCAGCGAGGAGAAGTGCGACTTTAATATGCCAATGGAACGTGAATGGTATCCAGGCGGTCGTCACTACTGGTCATCACAGTGCGATGGCTGCGCATGACTTCCATATGACGACGTCGGTTACATAGGCAGGACGGTTGTAGCTGGGAATGTAATTATCCATACACCTAGCGCGGCAGTGCCAAGGTTGCTCACTCTTTGTGGACGGTTGCTGAACAATAATTGCAAGCTCATTGGCCAGACGTCGTCAACACTTGCCCCGCAGGCTCGGCTAGTCTGAGCCCGTGGAGACGGAGATCTGCAACTCCACAGCTTTCGCCCATCCGCCCGTCTTGGCCTTTTGGTCCAGAACGCCATCCGTTGTACAGTACTGTAGATCCCCGTTGTTCTGGCGCCTTCCAATAACAACTTCGCCAAGACACGCTCTATGTGGCGTGAAGCTGTTGCAAAGCGGAGTATCTTAGAGTAGTGAATGTTGTTGTAGTTGTGCTGAGGCAGCAAACGTTGAGTGGCGGGAGGGGAAAAGCTGCGAAGCAGCCGCGGGCAGCGACGGGCACAAATCGCTGTCTGCGGGACCGAGGGCAGAGCAACCTCCTAAACCCCAGGCTACTCTAAACTGCAGTCGGGAGGGGGGTCCTCACATCAAGGGCGCCGTGTGATAAATGGCACCGATCCCCGCACAGAAGCTGATGGGAATCCTAAAAGCGCCGCGTCCGTGCACCATGGCATTCTTGAGATGACGATATCTGCCGCTAGCGGCGCTAACATCACCATCCCCATGCCATGTCCGGATGCTGCACCGCAGCCAACGAAACCGCAGTAGAGCCAATCGCTGGGCTCGCCGCGTTTAAAGGGTTCAGGCACAGTAGGTGTACCGAGAGCTGTCACCCCCCCTGCTCCGCGGAGCTTGCCTGCCACCTGTCGCCACCATGCCTTGGCAGACAGCTCTTACAAAGGGACCAGAATTCTGGTAATAGATGTCTATTAAAGCAGTAATTTTGCTATAAAAGCATTCTTAAATGCCTTAAATCGCTTAGAATTGCAATTTTTAACCCTTAATTCCCCTTTTACACCTTCTAAAACCCCTATATAATATATATTTATTTAGGGGAGGGCTAATCGTACACTCCCTAACGACTAGTCGTACACCCCCTCCTCCCCTGTCACTTCACCGCCTTCTGATTAGTTTAGAGGGTTGCTCCAGAGCTTCCGATTGGCTTGCTTCATTTGCTCACTAATTCCGAATACTTCTCCAAATGCGGCCACGTAGCCTCCAGCGCAGCCTATCTGATTTGTGCAGCTGTATATACGGCCGTACATGAGCTCGTACGTGAGCTCGTACGTAAGCTCGTACGCGAGGCTATACAAATCGGCATAGCTATACAGCCTCTCTGTTTTACAGTGCATCCTGCCCGATTTGTGCAGCTATATATACAGCTTGTACGTGAGGATGTACGTAAGGCTATACGTGAGGCTGTACGTGAGGCTATACAAATTGGAAAGGCTATATAGCCGTACGTAAGGCCGTACGTGAGGCTATACAAATCGGAAAGGATGCGCCGTAAAACGGAAAGGCTGTATAGCCATGTCGATTCGTATAGCCTCACGTATAGTCTCACGTACGAGCTCACATACGGCAGAGATGCATGTGCAGATAGACATAAGGGTGAATGTTCGGCGGCCTCCTGCCGGACCTCCGAGCCAATCAGAAGCGGTAAAGTAGGGGGTGTACGATTATTCGTTAGGGGGTGTACGATTAGCCCTCCCCTATTACTATACGCGTAGGCTTTTAGTATAGGTTTTAATCTAGTTGATCTATAATTTCTAGTTAAATCGTAATAATAGGATAACTTTAGTTATAGATAGCAGCTTAACTTATAGTAAATCTATATTAGCTAGGTTTAAAGAAATAGTAGCTAATATACTAATAATAGCTATATAGATGTATATGCAGTAAATAGCGCGTATATAGTAGATAGTGTATACAGCAGCTAATAGAGGCAATATAGTAAGGCACGTAACTTCCTAGCCAGAAGGAAAATACAATAATAGATTGTAGCGTTAGGCCGGGCTTATAACTGGCAGCTAGCGTAGAAAGGGCAAAGGATTAGTAAGGAAAGCATGAGTTGTATTAAGGTGCTAACGAGTAGCTATATAGTGAAGAGAGAAGAGAGGTTTGCAGGTGGCAACGGTGGCAAACAACAGGCAAGCTGAGCATTCAGCTGAGTTCGAGCGAGCTGAGAGGAGTGAATAGAAACGTGTTACTGGCTGCCACCACCACTTTCCACCGTCACACTTACATCCCCTGTCTCCCCTTGCGTGCCCTTACCCTCGCAACCCAATACATCCCAAACGTCGCCAGAATATTAAAGACGACATAACAAGACAAGAACCCAAAGTTCCGCCACGGATGCTCAATCTCAATGCCATAGCCTCGGAGAAAGGAATTTGTATCACTGATCGGACAATACTGACAATCAGCTCTTGCGTTCGGATTCTCAACAACGCCACCGGCCATGGACAAGTATGGTTGAAGATACTCCATGCAGCTGCCATCAAAGCCCACAGGAAGGGAGATGTTGCGTGTCTCCACATTGGAGCAAGTGATCGACGTGTCCGCGAGTCCGGCGATGACGACGCCGTCGATGAAATACGTGAAGGGCGAGACGCGGTACATGAAAGTCCAAAAGCCGGGGAGGTCTTTTGGAGCCACTATGACGCTAGGAGTATGTCAGTAAATTGAAAGTTAAACAGAATGGTAAGAGGTCATAGAAGAGGATCTTTCCTACTACTTACCCACAAAACACCATCGACAGGTACGAGAATAGGGTTGCAATCTGCACCGCTGTCTCGGCATGAGAGATCGCGATACCAACGGCTTGCGAGAGCGTCGATATGAAGAGACAGAACATCCATATAATGCACAACACCAGGCCGCCACGCTCAACAGCTGGAAATTCGGGCGTGCCATTTTTGTAAAGGCCGATGGGGAAGTACCAGACGACAAAAACCAGGATGGCGGTGAAGGACTGCCAAAACAGCTCAATGAGGATGTTTGCCGCCACGAATACATGCCAAGTATAGGTCTTTGAGCGACGCTCGCGCGCCTCGAAGAGGTCACGGTTGTCAGTGAGGCGAGGGATGACCTGCTGGTCAACCGTGTTGAACATATTTGTGAGAAAGAAGACAGCGAATATGATGTTGTTGAGGCCTTGAATGTCCAGGGTCGTCGTGAAGAAAGAGAAACCTGTGCAGATGGCCTGTCTATAGTTAGCAGTTGTCACGCTAACCACCCGAGGGAAGCACTTACAGAGCCAACACACAAAGCCAGCTTGGAGTAGAGGTAGGTTGGAGTGCGCCAATATTCCTGCGCGAGACGCCACTGTACCAAGAGAAGTTGTTGTCCGATTGGGGCAGCATACTCGTCGTGTGCAGCCGGCGATGCGCCGATGTCTACCTGGACGGCTTGTAGCTCATCAATGTGGCATAGGATGTCCTTTTTCTCTGGACTATTGTTCCACACGTCTGACCAGGCATAGTTTAACGCCCTTTCCTTATCTCTTGACTTCCTGGATGTCACGTCTAGCACCCATTCGGCAGGATTGTGTTTCGGGCCGCAACGGGGTGCGCCATTCCGCTCAAAGTAGTTGACGAGAGTCGATGCATCGGTACCAATGTCACCAAAGTACACCGTCTTCCCACCTTTCTCGAGGAGGAGCAGCCGATCAAAAATCTGGAAAAGCTGAGAGGACGGTTGATGAATGGTGCAAAGGATTGCCTGCCCATTCTTGGCCAGCTTTCGGAGTAGCATACAGATCGACCACGCTGTTTGACTGTCGAGACCAGAGGTTGGTTCATCTGCATTTGCATTAGTATTCGAATAGGTGTCGGGTGTTCGAGAGCGACACACCTAGGAAGAGGAGGAGCTCGGGTCTAGCAACGATTTCGATTGCAATTGTCAAGCGCTTTCGCTGCTCAACATTCAGGCCTATCTCTAGTCAGCAGCAATTCAAAGAGTGCTCTCAGGCTGGCTCACCTTCACCTGCAACACCAATGACAGCATGGGCGTAGGGCTCCATGTTTAGCATTTGTAGCACGGTGTTCACGTAATCAAGCTTCTCCGTCTTGGTCCTAGTCTTCGGTTGTCGCAGTAGAGCGCTGAAAGTCAGTGCTTCTCTGACTGTCGCACTTGCCACATGCAAATCCTCTTGCTGAACGTATCCCGTTTTGCGCTGAAAGCTTGCATCGCGGGATTTTCCATCAACAAATGCATCACCGGTTACCACTCCAACAGTAGTGCGACATGCTAGTACGTCCAAGAGTGTTGTTTTGCCCGCACCGGTTGCTCCCTATACGTCTACATTAGCAATTCATTTTACTCGTCATATGATTGTACCCACCATCAATGCGGTCAGAGTTCCCGGTTTGACCCAACCGTCCACCTCTGTCAATATTCGTCTGGAGCCTTCCTTCGTCTTGATATCATAGCAGATATTCTTCCAATGAAATATCGCCCTCTGTTTCTGAATAGTGCTGATATGGTCAGGAGTGTGTGTGTGTCCGGCTGGGATACTCAGCATCTCTCCCCAAGTCTGGTCCAAAGGGAAGCTTGTTATTGGCGTTTTTTCTTCGTCGCTGCCAGTGATACGGTCGCCCTTGTGGCCCTTCTGGAAGAGCAATATTTCTCCCTTGGAATGCTGCGCTGGGATATACTCTGCTGCAAGAAGGTGAATGGTGCAAAAGACGACCATCATCACGAGGAGTATTCCGAGATTCCTAAAAGGTTAATAAATTATACTCTAACGTATAAATGGTCTAATTGGGAACCTACCTCCACGTATGGCTTGTGACATAGCCGTATTTCACTTCAATGTACGATGATCCTTGCACAGTGCTCTGCCCGGCATTGGCACCAACAGCAGCGCAAGTTGCCCCTTGCATGTCATTCGCGCCACCATAAGGCGGCCCTGCCGGGATTGTGGAAGAGCATGGGAAGTTGCGTTCTCGAAACTATCTTCGTTAGCACGGTCTCTGGTACAGCAGAAGCAAAATGTAGTGCTACCTCATTGATCATTAGACTTTCATAAGCGTAGGCCACCAAGTTCAACCAGCGTAACCAGCCAAGCCAAACCACCATATAATCGGCTGGAATGACAAAGCCAGCGTATGTTATGAAGATGAGAATTAGAATTGCAACCGGTGCCATGGTCTGCTCATTGTTCTTTGAGAGAGACCCAACCATGCGAAAGAACATGGACATTGTAACCACCGTAACAAAGCAGAACAGTAGGTAGGTAAGCCAAGCCGAGGTAGTTCTGCGGAGATTGGCCATAAAGTAGATGGGAATGTTGAACATTACAACTGTGGCAATCTTGTTGGGCAAGTCACAGAAGATGTTTGCGATCCCTTCTATGCATGGATGATACATCGCGTATTGGTGGTGCTTCTCAACTATCGGGCGCTGAGCCCACATTGTGAGTACCTGACGGTTTTGTTAGTACTGGGAGTTGTAACGGAAGAGACGACAAATCGGCCATACCTCGAAGGCCGGGGTACAGGCATTTATCATGATGGAGAAAAACAGGAGTACCGCTCGGCGCTGGAAGCTATCCGTATTGTCGGCGAGGTTAAAAAAGACACTGCCAGTAACTATGGCGATTATTGTATTTCCAAACAGGGCACCCACAGCAGGGGTGTAGTTCATCTTCAAGCGCAGGAAGCCTCTGCTAATGCACGCGACGACCTGGAGGTAGTTGGAAATGGAATAGGTCGAGCTGTGTGGCCTACATCGTGTTCTAGTGTTAGCATCGTTAGGCATCCTAGTGACAGAAACGGTGACTGACTTCAGGATCTGCATGGCATTTTCCTGGGGATAGTAGTCCGAAAGCTGTGTCTGTGTTGGAGGATGCACGGAGTTGAAAACGTCAATTTGTTCACGCAGAGCTCGGGCTTGTGGGCTATGGACCCAGCGTGTTGCGAACTCCTCGGCGGAGCGAGGGACACGATCCTCATAGCCTTCTCGCACAAATCGTTCGGCGGAATTGGACAGGGACGTCAAGAAATCAGCGGTTGTTGCACGGCTAGGCTTTATGAATCCAAGATTGACAAAGTATTCAACAGCTTCGGTTACGAGACCGAAGTAGATTTGGCGCCCTTCATAGAGCAAAGTGACTGTGTCAAATTGCTATAGTTTTGTTAGCATTAGATGTAATCATGGGCAGCCTTGCACCGTCACTCACTCCGTACATAGCCTCTGAACTCAGGTTGCAGCACTACAACCTAGGATCAACAACTCATATGCCAGAAAGCTACTCTCCGAACATCAGCTGTAGAGAACCCAGCTGAAATCTCAGCTGTAGAGAACCGAGCTGAAGCCTCAGCTGTGCAGGGCTCATCTGAACTTACTAGCGCGCCACCCTGGGGGTGGCCCTTTTCCTTCCTCTAGTATATATACAATTCGCTAGACACCGATAGAAATCAGAGTCAATTTCAACCCGAGTTCTGACGCTTGATAGATGCTCATGAGAACAGTCGACTGAAGTGCATCTGTAGCAGCTCTCAATAGCTGGATAAACTGTAAGGCAGTGGAGCTATCGAGACCACGGGTGCTATTATCCCAGCATTGAATCTGCCCACCACTGACAAAAGCTTCTGCAATGCTGGTCCTTTTCTTCTCTCCGCCGCTAACTCCCCGAATCATAGCGTTTCCCACTTGAGTGTTGATGGACTGGCCGAGGCTGAAGAGGGAAACCACGTTCTGGCTAATGTGTTGAGAGCCTTCTTTGCGGAATCCATCCCCCTCCCTTGTCATTGCCGCAAATGCGAGGGTCTGGCCCACGGTCAATTCCGGAAAGTGGACATCGAGCTCGGCCATGTAGATGCATTCTCCTTTGAAGCTATCATGCATCTGCTTGTACGACAGTCCTAAGATATAATAAGTATCGTCAGTTACGACGTCGGCCAATGTCTTGCCTTGATAGTTGATCTTAGTGTCATCATAGACATGGATCCCGTGGGTGTCGCCGGCAATGGCCTTGAGAAAGGTAGAGCAACCACTACCAGGCCGGCCGAGCACGAGCAGAATTTCACCCGGCTGCACCAAACCCAGGAAGTCGTCAAGGATCTGGACCTTAGTCTTAGCACGATGCTGGGCCAAGGCTAGAAGATATTTTGGTACGGCGAGCAAGTACGAGGCGACGGTGTGCTGGTGCTGGTGCTGGCCGGCGGATAGATAGCCATGGACGTTAAGGTTGCGGAAAGCAACTCCAATCTGCACTTGGGCGCAGGATTGTTTCCGCTGCAGCCACTGTCGAAGTGGCAAAGGACCTTTGGTGTCGCTGCTGGTGTCCATGGTGTTGTTGGCATGCACCTTGCGCTCAACCGCCTCGGGCGGAGCAAGCCCGTCCATAGGAGCAGCTCAAGGTGCGAGTGAGCAGTGAAGTAGGGCGACCGGCCGGCAATGGGAGCATCACTAAAGGGTCGTTGGTGTTGGCTGATATATTCGCCAATGCCCTAGTCCTCAACCGGTGGACCACGAGATCCGTGGCTCCCACCTGGGCAGGTAGTTCAAAGGCTGCCGGCGCTGCGGCACGTGCTGCTACAGAGCGCCTGTGCCACGGTGTCGCGTTCACCAATCTTGCAGCGGTGTTCAAACCCTGTTACCAAAGCAACTGGGGAATCCGTATATCTCACATGACAATCCTTAATCAAGGACTACGGGGAGTCCGTTAGGATTCAATCGAGGGGACACTGCATTACAACGGGCGCTGTTACATCAGACCTTCTCTGCCGCAACTGCCACAGGGCGCTGTCGCCGAACTGTCACGAGCATGGAGCCACAATCCTGAAATATGTGCTGTCAGTTGGTTAAATTAAGGGCGCTAGTACCTGTACACCCCCTTTTTAGTAGTTGTACACCCCCCTTTCTAGTAGTTGTACACCCCCTAAACCCCTGTCGTTTCACCGCCCTCTAATTGGCTCGGAG